ATATATATATATATATATATATATATATATATATATATATATAATTGGTTTTTTAGTTGAAGGCAAGGGCAAGCAGTGTACCCTAGGCAGTAAATTATCCCTCTAGGGTGGGTCTAGGGCTAGGGCTGTGCGTCCAATGGGTCTCCAGTTGCCCATGCTCCCCTGCACAGCTGCCTCCCCAGCAGGCTGTGGGTCAGCCACAGGAGAGGTAAGCTGAGAAGGGCTGCCGTGGCCATTCTCTTGGGCAGGACATCAGAGGACTCAGATACCCGCTTCCCATTACCAGGTCTGAATCTTCTTCACAGCATGGCCCTGCAGGAGCTGGTGCAGCTCAAAGAGCCAAAGTCCCCGTCAGAGGCAAAGCTGCACTGGAAGTCCAGACCAGAGCTTGTGAGGCTGAGCCCGGCCCACCTGGATAGCCACTGCTATTCCTCCTATGGATACTTCTGCTCTGCCTTCCCAGACTCAAGCCGGCTCTCCTAGCCCTCCAGCGGCTTCCTGTAGGTGGCGCTCTCGATGCCCAAGGCCCACTTGACATTCATCAGCTCCAGGCACCGGCGAAGCTACAGCGGCCTGTCCCGTTTGGTCCGCTGCAGGACGGCCTCCAGTTCTGCAGGCTCGGCGTTGAGTCCTTAATGGCAAACTCCCTACGCTGCTCCGCGTTCTCTGGCCTTTGAGGCCTTCAATCTCACCCTGGAGCTGGCTGATGTTCCGGTTCATCTGAAAGATCTTCTTCCTGTGATCAGCTCATTCTCAGCCTTTCCAGTCAGTTTGCAGCTCCTCCACCAGGATCTGGTGGTGCATGCTCTCAGCCTTGGCCCAGCTGCTGCTGGCGATCTCCTGGTACCGGGTGGGGACCTCGCGATGATGCCGTTCATGTCCAGGACTTGGCTGTTGTCCATGGACAGGACCACAGATGTGGCCGAGATCTAGGGCTGCAGCTCGTGGATCTCCTCGTCTCCTGGAGCAGCCCTTCCAGGCGAGACCACTTGTCCTATAAGATTTATCCACAACCTTCTTAATGAGGAAAAATAATTCTCCAACTCTATGTGCTTGCTGATCTCATCCTGGTACTTACTCTTGAAGTCCTCCACCAGCCCCTGCATATTGCCAAGCTCCGCCTCCAGCTTCATCTTCTGGTCCCCTGTGTCCAGCTGCCACAGAAGGTTGTTGATGCAGCTCTCTATGTTGTCCACGTTGTTCCCAGCTGTCTTCTGCTGCTGCAGGCTCCACATGGTCTCCAGCATCCTGTTCAGCTGCTGCAGGATCCACACCTTGTCAATGAAGAAGGCAAACTTGTCTTGATCTGCTTCTTCTCCTGGGTGTTTACAGCACTGATGTTGGGATCCACCTCCAGCTTTCTGGAGCTCATCAGACTCTGGTTTACAGTGAGAACTGTGTTGCCTCTCATATCACCAGCCCCAGCATGGACCTCACCCAGACCTGTGCTGGTGGCTTTCAGGCCACCCAGAAAGCTGCTGCCCACCTGGAAGAAGCTCAAGGAGCTGATACAAGCACTGGGTACACTCCTCTACCAACAGCTGCTGAAGACGGAGGGCCCAAGGTAGACACCTTGTAGGACTTCTGGGTCACCCTGATGGACATGGTGGAGGCTGGAGTGAAGGCAATTAGGCTCAACCAGATGGTGATTTGAGTAGCTGAGAAGCTGCTGCTAGGTGAGAGCTAACAGGGTCATGTTTACTTTAAACAATAAAATCACACAGACTTGGATCCACAGCTGACTACAAGTAGTTTAATACCAGTGAGAAGGCATCGTAGTACTTGAAGACATTATGTCCAAACCTGGATTTGAATGATTATTGAAGCTGAAAGTTTTCAGATTAGAGAGAAGTTTAGAACGCAGAATTGATAGATGGCGATGACAGGTTGCATGCAGAGGTGAGGGAGAAGGTGGTATCAAGAATAACCCCTAGGTTCCTGGTTTTCAAAACTGGACAGTGGTATCACTAAGGTAAGAACATGAAGTGTTTTTGTGTTTGCTTGGAAGGAAGATAAGTCATGAAGAAAAGGAGAGACCAAATAAACAGTGTATGTAAAAGTGACTTAAAACTTCAAAGCTATACAAATTAAACAGAGAGGTGGGGGGTGATCCTTCTCCTCCAATGGAAGAGACTGCTAAGGATTTCAGAACAAAAACTGCTTGACTTCTCCCAGAACATCTAAGTGCCTGTCCTTTAGGCATTTTTCCTTTCACAATAAAATAAATAATACCTGTCCTCCTTGGGCATCCTCTTCCATGGGGAATCCTATAAATTCCAAGGATGTAACCATCTTTCGTTGCAACATCATACTCTTCATAAGGATAACCCCAGTAAGAAATAATCTGGCTCTAAAAAGAAGAAAGGAAATAGATATCTTCATGTCATAATCTCTTAATTTCTACACATGAAGTACAATATAGTACTTTGTTTGTTTATTTGTTTGTTTATTTGAGATGGATCTCACTCTGTTCCCTGGAACAGAGTGCAGTGGTGTGATCTCGGCTCACTGCGGCCTCTGCCTCCTGGGCTCAAGCAATCCTCCCACCTTCAACCTTCCAAGTAGCTGGAACTACAGGCACCCACCCCCACACCCAGCTAAATTTTTTTGTATGCTTTTGTAGAGATGGGATTTCACCATGTTGCCCAGGCTGGTCACAAACTCCTGAGCTCAAGTCATTTATTCCCCTGCCTCGGCCTCCCAAAGTGCTAGGATTATAGGTGTGAAACTCCATGCCTGGCCACAATGTAGTACTCTAAGTTGCACCTACTATTTATCAGTCTATTTACTGTGACAGCATGTAATATTCCTATGAGGATAATTTAAGAGGGATTTCTAGAAGGAGTTACATACAGAGGCATAGGTAAGTCTGGGTGGGGTGACCTTACACTCTTGCTTGCTCAGGATACTCTGGTTTTGCCTGTTGGCCTGGTATCATTCAAGCACCCTAGTTTGTTTTGATGAAAAATTATGTGATCATCTAATGAGGGAAACCACAGGGAACTGTGGAATACCCAGTGGCTAATAACAAGTGATCTATGACCAAACAGACTTGAAAGAAGATGGGAGGAAGCAGTTACCAGAACCCAGAAGGAGAAAGTCAAGCTGAGGTAACCAAATTGAGGGAGACAGATCATCTAAGTTGACTTCACAGGAAGGAAGCCAGGGCAATAAAAAATCAAACCTTACTTGCCAATTTCCTTCTCATCTCCTGCTCACAATTTCCATTGGCTGAATTGAACTGAAAACCAAAAGTCAAGGGAGCTTGTCGACCTGTCCTTACATTTCAGCCTCTTGGGCAGGGAGAAAGGTGTTAAAGAACAGAGAGTGAGCCTAGAGGGGTCAGAGAAGATACCCCACCCACAGATATACGAAAAAGAGGGGAACTAGTGATTATTGTTTATCTTCTACATAGAAGTTTACATTCCTTTTCTCATTAACCTTACAACAGGAATTTGGGATAGAATTGTACCATTTACAGATGGGAAAACTGACATTCAGGTAGATTAACAATTTGTCCAAGAGTATATACTAGAAAGAGATAAAAGCCAGATTAATGCTAAAGTAAGTTTAACTCGAAAGCTTATGCCTTTATCAAAGGATTATGCAGTTTCCCATGTCAGAGACAGAGATGTATGTATAAATTATGGGCTACACAAAGCAGTGGCGAAGAGCCCAGGCTCTGGAGACTGGCTGTGTGACATTGTGAGGATTATATGTAATATGTGTAGAACAATGCCTAACATAAAACAAGAGATTTAGAGATGATTGTTCTTATTATCATTATAGAAGGATTAAAAACCAAAAATCACTCATACTAGAGAAAGAAAAATTATGTCAGTTCAGCAGTATGGTAGGAGATCAGGGGTACTTGTTGGATACCTTGGAGAGAGGAACAAGAAGAACACTAATTTAAAAAACTTCGGCAGTTTCATTCTTCTTATGGTTCTAATACAGCTTGGGTATGGTACAGGAGCGCAATTGTACACCGTTTATACAGGAGAATGGAGCATATTATCAGAATGAAGTCTGTAGTAGATACTTGTCATTTGTCCTTTTTTTCTTTGCCTAACACTATTTCATTCCATTTCTGATACGAATTCCTGAATGTTAAAGTACTTTGGTAATAAACAACAGAAACCAACGCTGACTTATTAAACCAAAAAAGTGCATTGGCATAGCTGACAAAAATCAAAGGAACTGCTCTATCAAAAACCTCAGGGAAAACTCAAAGATATTCTGTAGAGATCATCCATATTAGCTCATGAAATTTCTCTTTAGGAAGCCACTACTGTATGGTAGTTCAAACCACGAGGAGATGGAATATTTCTGTTCCAACTTGGATCAGATCTTTTAATTCTTAGACTAGTTAGCCATGTCAAGGAACAGAGGAGAAAGCACAGATTTAGTCACTGGAGGAATTGTTGAAAACTAAGAAGGTACACTAGTTATATCTAAAATGATGAAATATGAAGAATTCCTTATCTTAGCATTTTTTCTTAATAAACCACTTACAATATTCATATTAGCTTCAGGGTTTGCGGTGCTTCCCTTCTTATCATAACCATACACAGATCCAAGAAGAAGCATCCAGCATGCTACTGCTAACAGCTGCCACATTTGGGGTCTGCCTGGGAAAGGAAATTTCATATATTTGTCATCAAAGTGAAATTTGGTATAATCTTTTTATAACACTGTTGTGAGAGAGAGCAGAAACATACTTCTAGACTGTGCTTTAACCAGTAGAATACTGAATTATACAACATTCATTCCATGAAAAATCTAAAATGGATTTTAGTAAGAAAATAAAGCCGCAAGGAAAGAAGACAGGAGGGAATAAATGGAAAGGAACATAGAAACCAATCAATCAAGTTTCCAGTAGATAACTGGACAAAAGAGGGAATAGATAATTTGTAGAAAAGAAATATAATGGCCAAGAAATTAATCAAAGCACATTTAGCATCTCTAGTTATTAGATTATTTGGTACTTTTTTCGGATGGTGGAGATGAGCATTGGCAAAAGCTTTATGAAAAAAATGTGTTGACATGTCTTGTAAATTTAAAAGTATTCAAAACCTTCACTCAGTAATTTTGTTTTCAGGAATCTAACTAAAAGAAAAATGATGTATATATAAACACTAGGTACAAAATTATTTATTATTGTATATCTTAAGACAGTAAAATTTCCCAAAGTAAGAGACTAGTGGCCTAAATTATGGGTGAGAAAAATGGAATTATTCAGTCATCAAATACTAATATGTGATATGTAAAAATTCCTACTATATAATATATAGAAAAAAACAGAATTCAAATTGTACATATATTTTGAGTTCAATGATGATTCAAACCATAATACCAAAAAAGCCTAAACACCGAATTGCAATTATATCTAGATGGTGAATATTTGGATGATTATTTTCTCATTTTTAAAGTGTTTTTCACACTTTCTAAATTTTCTATATTCAGTATTACTTTATTATAAGAAAGACATTATTATTTAAGCTTTTTTAAACAATTGTGAACATTGTGAAGAGAAAAAGATTATGAGTATTTTTCATTTGTCTTTGAAACTACTTAAATTTAAAGCAAAAAAAACAACTTTGCAAAAACAACCAAGGACAATATTTTTCAGGAGAGCTTCCTTTTATACTTATAAAATACAGATATTCAAATTATGTTAGAAAACACACCCACCCTGCTAAACTGTTTTGTTATTGTATAGTAATATATTGACATATAAATTAATACAGATTAATATAGCTTAATTCTGGTGCATCTCTATGGCAACAATAATAATATCACCTTCAGAAGCGATAATTATTTTTGTTATTACAACTGTGTATAGAGCACCTATTATGTACCAAGTAATGTGTCAGACATATATTATCTCATTTTAGCCTCAAAATAATTCTAAAGGTTAGGAAATATTGGGCTGGGCATAGTGGCTCATGCCTCTAATCCCGGCACTTTGGAAGGCTGAGGTGGGCCGATCACTTGAGTCCAGGAGTAAAAGACCAGCCTGGGCAACATGGAAAACCCTGTTTCTAAAAAAAATACAAATATTAGCTGGGCATAGTGGCATGCACCTGTAGACTCAGTTACTCATGGGACCGAGGTGAGAGGATCACCTTGGCCCAGGAGATTGAGGCTCCAGTGAGCTGTGATGGTGCCACCACTGTGCTCCAGCCTGGGTGAGGAGTGAAACCCTATCTCAAAAAAGAAAGAAAGAAAAAGGACAGGAAATATTGTCCCATAAAACTGGGTCTTATAGAAGTCAAGTAATTTGCTCAACGTCAACAGATGGTCATGGAGGCAGAATCTGAACTCAGGTTGCCTGACTCTAGGAAATGCACATAAAGACTATGCTCTTAACCACTCAGTCCATTCAGGCTAGTTTTACTGGGGCTCTCTGGCTTCTGTGTGTCTAACCAGTGTTTTTCTAAGTATGGCCCATAAACCACAGACATCCATAATCACCGTGAAAAACACTGAAGACTCTTAGACCTCACACTGAAAACAGACCTCACCCCAGCACAGCTGAAGGAGAATCTATTGCAGGTGTGTGGTCCAGGAATCTGCATTTTAAACCATCATTACAAAGGGTTCATATGCATTCTAAAGTTTAAAAAACAGCCAGACTGGTTGGATTTTTTTCAGAAGGGAAACTGTTTCATTCTCATTTCTGTTTCTCTAAGACCTAGCATGGAGGTTTTTATAAATGTTTGCCAACAAAATGGATGGATGAAGGAGTAAATGAATATGTTATTTAATCTAATAACTATGCCAGATTGACTCACTGTTTTATATTACATATTGTTTTACTGGTTTGATTTTATTCCACTTTATCATTCCTCACTGAGAGTAAGCTTTGAATGTTGATCAGGTCCTTACCTCAGGGCTATGTTTTATGGCAAAGTAGTAGGGAAATTTGTAAAAATTGGTCTTCTGTCTCAAGGCTTCGACAGTCTAGATGTTCTGATTTCTGCTGAGTGGTTGGCATTTTAAGGCCTCTGAGTCAGGATCACTGGTAAGTAAACCTGGGGCCCCTGTGTTGGAGCAGATCCAACTCTCTTCCAAAATGGCTAAGCCTGTGGGTGCTATAAAGCTGCAGAGGAAGAGGGCTGTGTGGCTAGCACAATGGGCTGCTTATAGGAAGAGCTGGGATCCAGCCCCAAGGGATGGCACTAGGATGTACTAGCCATGACAGATTACCTTTTATAATCATGACATACAGCCCATCAGCCGCTTTTATTTCATTTCCCTCTGCTATATGGATCTGGATATAGAAGGATGACACACCCCAGCAAGAGGAGTCTACATTTTCCATTTAGTAAGGAGTGTCAAATCCAATCTAAACAGCCTGTCTTCCAGCACCTCTTATGAGGGATGTTCTCACTCACTTTGCCAATCCAAGCCTTACAGTATTAACTATAATTGTTGGGCAAGGATGCTTGATTCAGGAACCTCTCCTAATAATACTGAGTTTTTAAAATTTCTTTGACCTGTTTCTGTGACAGCTCTCTGATGAATATTGCCTTCTCATGCATCCCACATCAACATTCTACTGGTTCACACTAATGCATATAAGGATATGAGACTAAGAAAAAACCAGAAATTATAAATTCCAGGGGATTCTCAGTTTTTAAAGATGAGACCCTTGATTGTAAGTACTCAGATTAAATCACTATAGATTTTATTTATTGTATATTTTATTATAGATATGCTCTATAATAAATTATATTGATTTATCACTCTAAATCAGCTTTTCACATTGTTGTCCTACAAAACATGACTCCCATAAAATGCTATTTATATAAAAAGGCCATAGACAAATATATGTTGAACTATATATGTATGTGTACATATTATATATATGACCTCCTTGGAGAGTCATAGACTGTGTGAGAGTGTATGTGTGTGTGTGTGTATAAAAACTTGCTTGGAGAGTCAGAGTACACACATATATACACACACACGTATATGTATACACTTATATAAATGCTATAAACATCACTTATTTGGAGAATCTTAGCTTATAATTAAGGTTCACTGTAGTCCCGCAATCAAGACTCTATTTATCTTTATTTAACTTACTTTTTTCTTCAGTCTTTTTTAAACTTTTATTTTTGGTTCAAGGGTACATGTGCATATTTGTTATGTACATAAACTTGTGTCATGGAGGTTTGTTGCACAGATTATTTCATCACCCAGGTACTAAACCTAGTACCGAATTGTCATTTTTTCTGATCCTTTTCCTCTTCCTACCATCCACCCTCAAGTAGGCCCCAATGTCTCTTGTTGTTCACCTCTTTGTGTCCATGAGTTATTAAATGCTGGTTTAATATTTCTTTCTCTATTTACTATACCAAAATATCTATATAATGAAGGAAAGGCTAAAATAAGTGGGCAAAAATTGGAAACTTACCTTTCAAAAATTTCTTCAGACAGATGCTCTACATGACTGTGGATACAGCTGCTAGTTTTACTCAAATTTGGTTGTAATTTGGTTGGAAAAAGGTACATTACTTGTAAGACTCTCTTCCCATGCTCAAAAATCTCCCTTTTCCAATAATTGCTTTTTGTTCGTTCCCTGCCCCTAACCTCTCTAGTTACTGCAGACAGAGGGAAATATGAGACTTTCAAGAGAATATTGCCTTGATGCATGTTTGATTTTATATTGTCAAAAATATTATACATGAAATGCATGTGGATTATATGTATGCAGCTGTCATAAGTAATGCGTTTTGCACTGACAAATACATTGATGCTAAAATCAAGGATACCAATTTCTCAACAAAAGACTATCAGAAGTAATAGAGACCTTAATTCTATTTTTCTCATTTCCCTGTAATAGGAACTATCAGGCTCATTAAGCGAGCACTTATGGCAATGCTTGGAGAGCATTCTCAACTAGTCCCCACCCTAATTCTTCACTATGTTCATAAATGGAGGTGAGAATTGGCCAGAGTGTGCAGGTACAAAGACCCTACTGGAAACTCTAAGCTCTAGGTTTGGAAAACTCTTAAGTTTAGAAAATGCAAAGAGATCAGTTTCTACAGATGACTCTCTGACGAATCTCGGTTTGATCAATAGTAAAATAACACTAATGATGAATCCCTGAATGCTTTGTGAAGGATCCTGAGTTAAAATTCCAACTCTGTTCTTCAGAAGATATGGCAGCCATGAGAATGCAGCTCTCACAGCTTCAACTGTGGGGAGCAAAACTAATGATGAGCCATAGCTCCTGTGTCTCAACTCCATCACTAGCTTCCAAATGAAGCCACACCTTGTAGACACTTCCTAACTACTGGCTGTCACTGTTTTTATTATTAGTTGTGTGACTCTTGCTAGGCAATTAAACTTCTCTGAAACTTGATTTTCTTATCTGTACAGTGAGAATAATAACACCTACATGTAGGGTTGGCTTAAGGTGATTAAGATGTGATAAGTAAGATGATAAATAATGCCTATAAAACATCTAACAATGCTTGACTTGTAGTGAATGGTAGCTATTGTTACAACGT